GGAGTGGGAGGGGGTGGGGGCGGGGTGGCGAGCGGCAGCAGCAGCAGGAGGGCAGAGCAGCGACAGCAGCAGCAGCGGGAGGAGTGGATAGCAGCAGTAGCAGCAGCAGCAGCAGCAGCAGCAGCAGCAGCACGGGAGAGCAGCAGCAGGAGCCAGCAGCAGAAGTCAAGAGCAGCAGCAGCAGCAGCAGAAAACAGCAGGGGTGGAGAGCAGCAGCAGCAGCAGAGACACCCAGAAAGGGAGCCTCGAGTCCACAAAAAGGGTCTCAGGCAGCGACATAACAGCAGCAGCAGCAGCAGCAGCAGCAGCAGCAACACTAGCAGCAGCAGCAGCAGCAGCAACACTAGCAGCAGCAGCAGCAAAAAGAGGTGTAAAGACCCACTGCATTTGCTGCTTCCACCAGCGGCGGCAAACACCGCTCCACATTTTCCGCACCCAACCTGCAGCGCAGCGCAGCAGCCGCACACACACTGCAGCAGCAGCAGCAGCAGCAGCAGCAGCAGCAGCGGTTGCTGCGGCAGCAGCTTCAGCAGTTGCTGCAGCAGCAGCAGCGGCAACGTCAGCTGCAGCTGCTGCTACAGCAGCACCTTGAGCAGCTGCAACACCACCAGCAGCAGCTGCAGCAGATACTACTGCAGCAGCAGCTGCTGCAGCAGCTGCAGCAGCTGCAGCAGCGAAAGAAGGCCTTTTGAATGCTTAAGAGTCCACATTTGAGGTGTCTGTACACCTGAGTGCACGTGGCACTTGAGGTGTACATACACCTCATTAAGAGCTTAATAACATTTGAGGTGTACATACAGCGAAGTATTAATTGAGGTGTCTGTACACCTGAGAGTGAGGGGGGTGCATGCAGCTAATTAACAACTGAGGTGTACATACACCTCATTAACAACTGCGGTGTACATACACCTCATTAACAACTGAGGTGTCTACACACCAAATAAATAATTTGAGGTGTACATACACCTCATTAATAACTGAGGTGTCTACACACCAAATAAATAATTTGAGGTGTCTGTACACCTGACTAGCAAGTGAGGTGTCTGCACAGCTCATGGCCAGCTGAGGTGTACAGACACCTGAGGTGTACAGACACCTGAAGAACTGAGGTGTCTGTACACCTGAGTAGAACTGAGGTGTCTGTACACCTGAGAGGCAGTGGGGTGTCTGTACACCTGAGAGGCAGTGGGGTGTCTGTACACCTGAGAGGCAGTGGGGT